GATTCCTTTTCTGTTGCAAATATCAATCGTGCTCTTCAAACATTGGGATCTAATGCTAACTCAAAAATAGTACTGGGATGCGTGGATGATAAATTGTTTTGATTGATTTAAAAAAGAAAAACGAAAAAAAGTAAAAAGTTCAGTAAGACCCCATATTTCGTTAAAAAATGTTCAATCCAGTCATTTCCGCTCACGCCGTTAAAAACTTAACGGTGCAAATGCCACGTCATCATCACCATCTCCAAACAAATCCTAATTTCTCTTCAAGAAACCCTAGCCGCCGCACCATCCAGTGTCGTCACCGCCATCCTCGCCGACAACCGTCCTCTACAACACATCACGCGCCACCACAAAAGCGTCTTCTCCCTTCTGTTGCACCTCCATCACCTTCGCATCTCACCTTCGTTCTCGCGCCACCACCCAATGCGATCCCTTGCTATGCCGCGACCACTAATCTTCACCATTTTCACCCTTGCACCAGCCAAATTGTCATCGCGCCAGCAGCACTGCCGTCCAATCTCCACCACATAATTGTCCACCACTAACCATCAGCCAAATTGTCATCTGCTGGTGATCGCGAATCGCCACTCTTCTCCATCACTAATCGCGTCGCTGCTTGCCTCCACTTGCAACCACAATCAGACCTGCAAGCAAACCGTGGAGACCTAAGGTTTCTCGCGTTCTTGTCGCATAGTTTTGGTGGTGGCGTGTGATGCATTGGAGAGGATGGGTGCCGGCAAGGATGGCGGTGACAACGCTGAATGGTGCGGCGGCTAGGGTTTCTTGGAGAGAAATTAGGGTTTGTGTGGAGATGATGATGATGACGTTGCAAAGATTTTTTTTAAAATTAAACGATCATTTAAGTCCACCTATTAACGTGTGCCACGTGCTTATGAGATGTCACGGTGACATTTTCACCGTTATGTTTTTAACGACGTGAGCGGAAAGGACCAGATTGAACATTTTTAACGAAATATGGGGTCTTACTGAACTTTTTTAAAAGGTAGGATTACTTTGAACCAAATCCCTAAAAGTAGGGACCAAATGATGTATTAAACCTAAAAGCAAGATACCAAGACAGTGAAACTCAAATGTAGGAGAAAAAATTATAGGTAGTAGAAATAAACTAAACTTCCTAGATTGTTGTTCCCGCAAGTGAGGGCATGATGAAACGCACCGCAGACGGCGCGTGGGCGCACATGGTGTGTGTGTGTTATTCGTGCTAGAAGTGTTTTTTCAGGACCCGGAAGGGAGGGAGGGGATCAACTGCTCCATGGTTCCGAGGAAGAGGTGGTTGCAAAGGTGCTACCTTTGCGAGTGTTGTGACGGTTGCGGTCTCGTGTGTTAACGCTGGACCAGTAGTATGCTTTAGAACAGTGCAGCAGAATGTAGAAAATGAAAACGTGATGCAAGAGAATAGAGAAAACGATTATCTTATCATTAACAGGAAAACTGATATATGTATATCAGACACAGAAGTCGGAAACTATCTTTTGACAGTTAAAACCGTTAGGTAGTTTAGATTTACATTTTAACACTCCCCTTTAAAGCTAAACTACTCAAAGATCTAACGCCAAGATAGTCCCTCAGCCTTTCAAATCTGTTTTGCCGTAATGCCTTAGTGAAGATGTCTGATGTTTGCTCATCTGTAGTGTAGTACACCAGTTCTAACCTTTCCTTACTGACTTGATCTCTGAGATAATGAAACTTAGTCTCTATATGCTTGCTTCTGCCATGAGAGACTGGGTTCTTGGACAAGATGATAGCTGATTTGTTATCCACCATCAAGTGTGTTGGTTTACAGTTCTCAATCCTCAACTCTCGTAGAATAGCTTCTAGCCATGCACATTGGCAAGCAGTTTCTGCTGCAGATATGTACTCTGCTTCGCAAGACGAGAGTGCAACAACATTTTGTTTCTTTGAGCACCAAGATATTGAAGCTCCCATCAATTTGATCAGGTATTCAAAGGTGCTCTTCCTATCCACTTGATCACCACTTCAATCTACATCACACCATGCCTTCAAGATATCACATGTACTATCAACCTTCCTGGGAAAATTAAGACCATAATCTGTTGTTCCCTTCCAGTAGCGCATAATGTGCTTGGCTGCTGCAAGATGAGACTGTCTTGGATCATGCATGAACCTACTAACAAGCTCGACTCCGAAGCTGATGTTCGGTCTGCTGTTGCATATGTAACGAAGAGTTCCTACGATCTGCTTGAACAGGGTTGCATCAACCTTGGTCTCTTCTTGCTGACACGTGAGTTGCAAGTTTGCCATGACTGGGATGGATGTGCTATTACAGTTCTTCAAGTTAAATCTCTCCAAAGTCTCTAAAATATACTTTCTTTGATGCATGAACATTCCATCTTCAGTCTGCACGAATTCCAGCCCAAGAAAGTACCCCAAGCTACCAAGATCTGTCATTTAAGGTTCATTCTTCATCTTCACCTTAAATTCTTCAATTTCCTGTGTGGAGCTTCTAATGACCAGTAGATTGTCGACGTACAGACACACCAGTAGAGTACCTAGCTGTTCAACAAATTTCATATAAATTCCATATTCAACATTGCATTTTTGGAAACCTTACTTGATAAGTAATGCGTCAATGTGTTTTTTCCAGGCTCGTGGTGTCTGACGGAGGCCATATAAAGCCTTGTTCAACTTGTATACTTTCAGCTCTTGTCCCTTCTTAACAAATCCAGTTGGTTGCTTCATGAAAACTTCTTCTTCGAGGAGGCCATTAAGAAATGCGGATTTGACGTCCATTTGGTAAATGCTCCAACCATTGAAGTTGGCTAAGGCAACAACAAGTCTTACAGTCTCTAGTCTTGCCACATGAGCATAAACATCAGTGAAATCTATCCCAGGTTTTTGCAAGAAACCTTTTGCAACCAACCTAGCCTTAAGCTTTGCAACACTTTCATCTGGTTTATATTTAGTTTTGAACACCCATTTCACCTCTATGGCCCGTTTATGCTGAGGCAGTTCCACTAACCTCCACGTCATGTTCTTCTCAATTGATGAAAGTTCTTCCAACATAGCCTCCTCCCATTCTTTAATTTTGATGGCTTGTCCCCATGAAAGTGTTTCAGCACCTGCTAGAAGAGCATAATGAACTATATCACTTGAGTTTGTGATATCACTGTCACTAAAAAACTCATGACCAGCGAGTCTCGTAGAGGGAAATCGTGTTCTCTGTGACCTTCTAGCTTGAGTGTCTTCTTTTGTAGATATCTGTTCAGTCTCCTCTGCCCTTTTCTCCTCCAGCCAGGTAGACACAACAGCACCAGATTGCTCGATTGATTCAGTTTCTGCATCAACCCATTTAAACGTAGCAGACTCGTCTACTATCACATCTCTACTGATCAAGATTTGCCTCTTCTCTGGATCATACAGCCTGTATGCACTTGTTGGATGATAACCTATGAGAATGAGAGTTTCACTAATATCGTCTAACTTCTTCCTTCGTTCAACTGGGACGTGTTTGTAACAGACCAAACCGAAAATCTTCAGGTGATGCACATCTGGTTTCTTTCCAGTCCAAGCCTCTTCGGGTGTGCATGTTGACAGTGCTTTGGTAGGACTTCTATTCAGCAAGTAGGTAGCAGTCGAGACTGCTTCTCCCCATAGGTAATGCGGTAGTCTTCTCCCTTTTATCATACACCTGGTCATATCCAAAAGCATTTGGTTTCTTCTCTCAGCTAATCCGTTGTGCTGGGGTGTGTAAGGCGTTGTAACTTCATGCAGAATCCCTTTGTCAACACAAAATTTACTCATTTCTCCATAATTAAATTCGCCTCCACTATCAGTCTTGAGAATCCTGAGTTGCTAACTAGATTGCCTCTCGATCATGAAACAAAATTTAACAAATTGTGTGTAAGCTTCTCTCTTTTCTCTTAACAAATATACCCAGAGTTTTCTAGATAATTCATCTACGAAGAGTAAAAAATATTTGTTACCTCCTAGAGATGGCACGTCAAAAGGACCACACATATCTGCATGCACAACGTCCAACAACTGTCTTGCTCTCTTGGGTGCGTGTCTGTTAAACGCCTTTCTGGTTTGCTTCCCAACGACACAACTTTCACAGACTTTGTTCGGTGCAACAATTGTAGGTATGCCTCTCACAAGATCTTTATCTTTCAGTTGACTCAGGCTCCTAAAATTTAGATGCCCATAACGATAGTGCCACAACTACTGTTCTTCTCCAAAATCCATTGCAGTCAGACACTGTATCTCTGTTGCGTTCAAGTTCACTTTAAAAGTTTGATTTCTCGCAAGAGGAGCTTTGAGTATCATTCGTTGTCTCTCGTCGAATACCTCAATATGTCTTTGCTGCATCTTCATGGTATATCCTTTTTCCAAGAGTTGGTCGAGACTTAGACGATTGCTTTTCATCGTGGGAACATATAAAACATTGTGCATGTACACCGATCTTCCATCTTTGCGTGTGATCATCACTTTGCCCGAACCTTCAGCTCCAATGATACTGTTATCCGCAAAACGTACAGTGCCTTTGATGCTTGTGTCTAAGTCGAGCAACTAGTTTCTATTTCCAGTCATGTGGTTGGAACAACCTGTATCCAAATACCACAACGTTTCTTCATCTTCATGGCTTGTTTCTCCAGCAAGCGACACATGTCCTGTTCGGTCGGTCTTTCTTAGACACTTGTCTGTTACCCCACTCGCCTTTTGAACATGTCTTTCCTGTGGAATTCTCCAGATGTCATCGTTTCTGTCATGCATTGCGACGCTCATCAAAAAAACGTGATCACAATCCGATTCCAGTTCTTCTTTCGCAAGATTCGCCTCATCACTCTTTTCTTTCTTTGCGTTTTCATTGTGCCAACACTCAGATGAGTAATGGCCATATTTATTACTCGTAAAACATTGTACATTTCTCTTGTCAACGTTCTTTCTGCCTCCTCTTCCTCTGTACTTTCCTCTTCCTCTATAATTTCCTTCTTTTTGTTCGTTGTTGTTGTCATCTTTGGTCAGTTCGAAAGTATTAGTGAATCTGCCTCCATTTCGACCACCACGACCACCACGCGATCTTCCTTTGCCTCTGCCAGTTCCCGATTCTTGTAAATTTGACTGCTTCTAGCTTGCAGTGCCTGATTTATACTTTGTATAACATTTTTTTCTGCCACTTTTCTCTCTATCAGGCGCTGCTCATGAGCTTCAAGAGAATTTTGTAGCTCTTCAACTTTCATAATTCCCAAATCTTTGCTTTCTTCGATCGCCACCACAATGTGCTCGTACTGGGGTGTCAGAGTTCGCAAGATTTTCTCAACGATCTTTCTGTCTTTCACCACTTTATCACATGCCCGCATCGTATTAACAACCACCTGAATCCTGCCAATATATTCTTCAATGGTTTCTTGCTCTCCCATACTCAAGAGCTCATATTGTCTCTGCATCGATTGTAGTCTCACTTTCTTCACCCTTCCTGAATTTCCATATCCATCTTGTAATATATCCCAAGCTTCCTTGGTTGTTGCTGCTCTTGACACTTTCTGAAATATCATCGCAGAAACACATTGGTGCAAGAGCATGCGTGCCTTATAGTCCAGCTTCTTGTTTTCTTTGTAGACTTTCTTTGCTTCATCCATGTCCCCCTTTGAGGGTTCTTTAAATCCTCTCTTGACAATTTCGTCAACTTCTTGAAAGCCTAAGATAGCATTCATCTTCACACACCAGTCATCGTAATTCTTTTCGTCGAGCACTGGCAAGCTGCTCTGGATCATCCCCGCCATCGCCTTTCAACGAGAACCCTTCTTTGCTAATTAAGTCCTTCTTCGCTTGTTCAAAGTTTCACCAGGTTCTTTAACCTGTCGTTCCGAATACCACTTTTAACGCTGGACCAGTAGTGTGCTTTAGAACAGTGTGGCGGAATGTAGAAAATGAAAACGTGATGCAAGAGAATAGAGAAAATGATTATCTTATCATTAACAGGAAAATTGATATATGTATATCAGATACAGAAGTAGAAAACTGTCTTTTGACAGTTAAAACCGTTAGGTAGTTTAGATTTACATTTTAACATCGTGTGCTCTGAGCCAAAGTGTGGGTTAGTGTTTCATGTGATGTGCGCCCTGAAGGAGGAGCTTTGGATTGAGTACAAGGAAGGGAAGAAAGGGGGCACCATTGTTGCTGGCTTCTGCAAATAGTAATTTATTTTTTGTTTTGGTATTTTATATTCATATGGTTTAACTAAAGTCCTTTTCTGATGCAGCAACAACAATCTGAGAAGACAACGACTGGGGACGGAACAGAGGTTTGGAGTGGTTCTGGTCAACGAGGTTGCGATTGTGGACAGGAATGAAGATGCAAAGGAAAATATTGACTCAGAAAAAGTAAAAAGTTCAGTCTAATTTTAAAACCTTTGGTTTTTTAAGGAAGAAACATTATAATTTAGGAGAACATCAAAATGTACCAAAAATTGAAAGATATGAATCAAAATTGTTTAATAATTAAGGAACTAAAAGAATATTTAACCCAATACTTAATATTATCAATGAATTACAAAATTAATATATTAGAACATGAATAATTAATATTAACATTGTCTACTACTTTACCGCGAAATAACCTCGCTGTGTTGCCCTTCAACTGATTCAATCATTGATTTGATAATTTTTCTAAATTAATTAAATCTTAAATGTTTAATTAGTAAGTATGTTCTTACAATGTTTTAGGTTTAATTGGTTAAATTCAATTAAATATTTTATATTGATAATGTTCTGATTAGAAAACTTGAGTAGCAACCTCTAAAATTATTTGCCTTGTGCTACAGCTATTATATCACAAAACAAAAATAAGTAACCTTTTTTTTTTTTGTATCATTTCAACTTCTAGTTATATAAACTATACGACTTTTTTTACAGTTAGGTGACTATACAATTGAATTTAATTCACATATAATTATTAGGAAAAATTTACATGGCGTCTGTCTTTTAGTAGACCCTTCCAAAACTAATTAAAAAATAATATTTTATACTTTTTTTAGTTGATTCATCTTATATTATTTTATACTTTATATAAAGTATTATTTTATAGGTGTTGGATAGAAGTTTATACGTGTTTGTCTATCACTATCCTCTTAGACTTAATTAGTTGTAAGTTACTAATTAATATGGAAATTTTTAATTAAGTTTCTAATAAATTTTTTTATCATACTTAATAAATTTATGTTTTTTAATAGAATTTTCGTTATTAATTTTTTTTATTAATTGGATGGTTTTAAATGATTAACTTATTCATTATATTCTCAATTGTTACTACATGTTATTTTATTATATTAAAATTTTATAATTTCATAAATTTTAAAATTATAAAATGTTATAATAATAAAGTAATATATGGTGACAATTATAATATATCAATCACGTAAATCACTTAATAATTATATTACCCACGTAATAGAAAATTTAAACACAATTAAAAAAATATGAATTTATTAAGTAATTAATATGTGATAAATTTCATTAAAAACCTAATTAAAAGTTCTTAAATTTGTCTTAAAATATAATTAAGCCTGATTATTATAACATATTGGTATGTTTACAAAAATTTACTTGTTAGAGTTTAACTATTTATCCATGAAACTCTAATGTGGCAAAAAACTATACAAGATTGTAATGGAATGATATTGTTTTTTAGTCCAGATTATGTATGTGTATTTGTTCCCACAACAAACCTATTTATAGAATAATTATAAAAGATAAACTTTCTTTTTTATTTATTTAATGTTACAATATATATAATATTATTAAAATTAAAACTCTTGATTAAACTTAGTTAAATAATATTTTGTGTAATTGTTGATACTGAAATAGAAGTGACAGGTAGGGGAAAGAGAAAGTTAGCATGGAAGAGATGAATGGAATAGCCTTACGTTTCGTCCAAACTCCTTCTTCCATCTCTCACCGTGTCTTCTTCTCCATTTAGAAAATGGAGAATTCGTCAATGGCCAATCATGGAAGCCTCGCTGTCTCGGAAACAACTACCTATTTTCAGTCTTCTCTTCTCTTCTTATAACTTCACCCTCCTTCCTTTCTTGTCGTCCCCATCGCTTCCATTAGGTCATTCTTTTTCATCTTTTCTTCTTTCTCTTACTCTTCACTTTCCTTTTTTATTTCACTTAAGGAATAATGATGAAAAATAGCCTTCAAAACAAAAGGGTCGTGTGTTTTCCATGGCATGCACGATGCTGTGCTGTTAATTATTTTGTTGTCGGTGTTTAATGGGTTATCATTGAATTGTGAGGGTTTTCCATGCATGCAGGGCATTTGGGAGTGCAACGTTATTTCTGCTAATTCGTATGACGAGCAAGTAATTCTCCTGAATACCCTGCAGAAGCTAAACACGAAGCCGAACCATGTCTGGACCGCTATCTCCCAAGACATGTCAGTTTCATCTCCATCATTCTTTCTTTCTGTCCAGCTTTATTTTAAATTAGATTGCAGACAGAACTTAAATGTAAATCCTTTGTAAATTTTTAGAATGGTAGAGTTTCTGTTGATAATTCCAGTAATAAATATTTCAATATACAAGTTCATGAACATATGTTATTGATGTAAAATTCCAATTCGGATTGGAAAATAGTATGTTTTTCTCCGATCAATATATCAGAAACTTGGTAAAAATGCTAAGCCAATTCTTGTTGATGGTGGCATTGCAGCTCTTGATCGTGTTGGTTCATTGAAGAAGAAGTTGAGGAATTCCTTGACAAGGAGTAGGAGAAGAAGCAGCAGCAAGGTCATGTCGATTGAAATCGAGGATATCCGCGATGCTGAAGAATCCAAAGCCGTAGATGAGTTCCGTCAGGCTCTTCTCTTGGACGAGCTCCTCCCAGATAAGCACGATGATTATCACATGATGCTCAGGTCACCTTAATTTTCTTGCTTACTCTTATTCTTGAGCAAAGTTTTGATATAATTTGCTTTCATTCCACAAGGTTTGGCCATGTATATTTCAGAATGGTGAATACTATAATAGCAATGCTATTCTGATAATAAAATCTAATTAACTATTTTTTTCGTTCAAACTTGCATTCATGGGTTCTATTCCTACAAATAATTGTTGTAAAGTAAACGTATAAACTAAGATATGTTATTCTTAACATCTTGGTAACTTTAGGAACCAATTTGCATATGCAGAGATTTTCAGAGAGTAAAGAAATAGAGAAGCATTTTTTAACTCAATTGGTTTGACAGTTTTCCTGCATTATTTTTTGAACAGGTTCCTTAAGGCCAGGAAATTTGACCTTGAGAAATCTAAGCAAATGTGGTCTGACATGCTTCAATGGAGGAAGGAATTTGGTGCTGACACCATCACCGAGGTATTTGTTTTTGAACAATGATATCTGTGAGACTTCAGGGGATTTGTTACTAGTTTCGTATACATTACCCTTTTTTTTCCCAGTTGTTTATAGTTTTCTCCTTCTGCTCACTCACCTTTGTGCCTTTTATACTTTAGGACTTCGAATTCAAGGAACTCGATGAAGTGTTGCAATATTATCCTCATGGGCATCATGGAGTCGATAAAGATGGGCGACCAGTATACATCGAGAGATTGGGCCAAGTCGATGCCACCAAGTTGATGCAAGTCACAACCATGGAGCGATATATCAAATACCATGTCAAAGAGTTCGAGAGAACATTTGATGTGAAATTCGCAGCTTGCTCCATTGCTGCAAAGAAACACATCGATCAAAGTACAACCATCCTTGATGTGCAAGGAGTGGTACGTGTAGCAAATAGTTTATCTATAAGCCAGTCGAATTTTAATGTTAAAAACAGCATGGAAAAAGAGAAAGAAACGTGAAAAATACTAGAAGATGATGGAAACTTGCTATGTTTTAATGTCACAGGGCCTTAAGAACTTTAACAAGCATGCCAGGGAGCTGATCACATCCCTTCAGAAGATTGACGGAGACAACTATCCTGAAGTACGTTTTTCTTCTAATTTGCTTAAATTTACATAATTTTTTTGTAGATTACTGAGTTGTAATATCATAAAATTGGTGCCTTCATTGCAGACCTTGAACCGCATGTTCATCATCAATGCAGGTTCTGGATTCAGAATGTTGTGGGGCACTGTTAAATCCTTCCTTGACCCAAAGACCACATCAAAAATCCATGTGAGAACAAACACCTTACCTTAACTATCTGCCTGTTTCTGAATATAACATTTTATCTGATTGAGCTAAAACTTACCAGGTTCTTGGCAACAAGTACCAAAGCAAATTGCTTGAAATAATTGATGAGAGGTGAGTTCATGATAGCGGATATTTCAACATTGTAGCATCATGATTTTCCTTGTGCGACTACTATTTTCCGTTCTTTTTCTGCTCCACAGCTGTTGTTCTAGTATCCAAATGCGTTTATCACCTTTGGCTTAAGGTTGTTGACAATCTTTATAATGTAATGGTTTTGCTTTGGCAGTGAGTTGCCAGAGTTTTTGGGAGGCAAATGCACTTGTGCCGATCAAGGAGGCTGCATGCGCTCTGATAAGGGCCCTTGGAAGGATGAAGAAATAATCAGGGTGGAGTTGCAATTCCTTTTCCGCCCTCCTTTTATGCTTTCATCTGATTAACAATTTGCGTTCCATCATGCATTTGCAAGTTTATGTGATTAATATATATCTATGTAATATACTTACTTGCAGATGGTTCAAAATGGTGAGCACAAATGTTCAAGGAAATGTGAGGCTCCAGTCATGGAAGACAAGACAACTTCTGAGGTGAGAGCCATAGCTTTCATTTGGCATTTCCATTTACACACAGTTTTCTCTATTGAACCAATTGTTGATTTTTTTTTTGCAACCCTTGATTCCTTTTGTTATTGATTAACATCCTAACTAATCAATAAGCTTGTTTAGGAACACGAGATTATCAAGTTGGAAGCAAATCTCACCCCACAATTGTCTTCTGCCTTTGCTGAGGTATGCTATCATACATCTTTCATAACAACCACCCTTGATCCAGTTAACAATGGAAACCGGCAAATCAGTGTCACTTCCTTACCACAAAACATAGCTAGTGGGGTTAATGCACAAGGAAAAGTTACTCACATTACATTGGATAATTATACTATGATGTTGTGAAGTAAAATGGTATCTCCATGTGGACAGTGAGTGCACAAGGGAGAATAATGAGACCTTGAAAATGGATGATTGTTGAAATGAATATCTTTAGAGTATCTTGTAGGTACAAAGTGGTGGAAGAAGGCTTTTGTAAGTATATGTATACTGGTTAACTATGTAAACAATATATATGCATTATTTGCCCATAAAAAGAATATGGGGACACAATTGTTTTACAGAAGATTAACAATTCTGTAAGTGTTTGCTTGAAAAAATAAATAAAAGTGGACCATGTTTCCTTAACTTGTAAGTACTAAACCTTGTCAAAATATAACAGGCTGCTCCTTCCAAGAGTTACCAATACGAGGACTTTGTCCCCGCAGCTGAAAAAACTGCTTGGAAGAAGGTAGAAGACAACGACCGATATGCAGTATCGAAAGGTAGAACTGAAATTTCTTTGTTTGGCTCTATTTTATAGTAATGCATATTAATTCCTAATGACAGAGACTTGTTAAAGTCCTCTATGTGTGCCTATGACAAAAGGGTTATTCTTGTATATATATGTACTGAAGGCAACTTGTGAAGTGAAGAATTAATGTGTTTTGTGGAACTGATGCAGCTGATTCATACGCCATGGATTCTTTCAATATTCACGAGAGAGTGAACTCACAAATTTTCACTGGCGTGATGGCCTTCGTGATGGGCATAGTGACAATGGTGAGGATGACCAGGAACATGCCGAAGAAGCTCACAGACGCCAACTTCTACTCCAACTTCGGTGGTGAATACAAGGGGCAGGCCAATAACGAACAAATGACCGTCCCTGCAATCTCTGCTCAAGAGTTCATGACTGTGATGAAGCGCATGGCTGAGTTGGAAGAGAAAATGAGCAACATGAACAACCTCGCCATCTGCATGCCACCTGAGAAGGAGGAAATGCTCAATGCTGCCATCACCCGAGCAGATGCATTGGAGCAAGAACTCATGGCAACCAAAAAGGTAAACAGATCAATAACTCATTATTTCTTTCAAAACCACATGCATGATCTTTGCCTTCACATTGCTGCACAACGTTTTATAAAATGTTCACATAAAAAAAAATAATGTATCGGCTCTGTTAGGCTTTGGAGGAGTCCCTTTCTAAGCAAGAGGAGCTTTCGGCTTACGTTGAGAAGAAGAAGAAGAAGAAGAAGTTGTTGGTACGTACACGACAACTACGTACCCATGTTTAACGTAGTTATTTGTTTATCCAAGTTGTTGTTTGTTGCTTAATATTTTGTTTCTTTTTGCAGTTCGTTTGGTAAATTTAACTGGGGTTTCGTTCTAACACTCGGCTTTCCGAAGACTTCCCAAATGCCATTTTATTACTATATTCATAAAATGTTCAAATTTTGAACACCTTAAACCGAAGCATGTTTGCTAGCACTCAAGGATTGGACTCTCTCAATGTATATAACAAATCTGAGTAATGATACAAATTCATTTAGATTTTGTCTACATCTATTATATATATTTGTTTTTTCTTTTTATCTCTCTTTTCTTATTACATCAAATATACATACATATGAAACTTAATTATCACAAAAAGAAAACTTCATAATTTCTTAAGATGCTTAATAACAATTTTAAAAAAAATAATACAAAAGTGTTTTCGTGACAAAGTCAACTTGGTCAAACGTGGCCTGTGGGTAACGAATTATGAAATGCAAAAGTTCCTATTTCATTTCATATATTGGCATGTTCGTTAAGCCTTTTTCATCAAATAATCACTTTAAAAAAATCACTTTGTTATGTGCTATTACAGTTTTTCTTTAACAAAATCAGAAGCTTAAAATGCTAAACTTCATTAGAGGCTATTTGAAAGAACTTCTCATCAAATTATTTATTTGAAAGACTTATATTTTATGTGAAAAGTATAAAAATGAAAAACGGAAATCATTAAAAGCCATTTTACCAAAAATGCAGACTTGAATTTGAGTGTAAACTAATTACAGCTACCATATATAGCTGATAATTATTTTTCCTATTTGCTTAAAGCACAGAAATAACATGAATTGAGTTTTTTTTTCTTTCAAAAATAACGAAGTGAAGTCTCTTTTTCTTTTTTTTTTTAATTTTCAATGCTCTATACATGTTACATTGCAACTTTGTCATTGCTCAGAAACTAAAACAAGCACACAATAAAGGCTCTTTGATTCAAATTTTGGGTTATCTCTGGTATCTGCAACTATAATAATAGTATGAAAATGACTAAACACAACGATGAATAAACGATGCGTAAGAAAGGGGAACAAGACACAAGCCTCTGCTTCTTAGGTCTGGCTTCACTTCTTTATCTACTTTATTTGTACTCTGTAAACCCACAAAACAATAAATAATCAATATCACGTATTGAATATATTATCACTTTATAATATAACCTAATACTTCTACGCCATAATAATCACATTTATATTCTTTTAGTCTACTCTTAGCTATAGGAGTCAATTTGCGAACAGAAATATCAAGAAAGTTACGAAGTTAAAGTATCTGCATTTCTTACCAGCTGCAACATTCTATTGCTTTGCGTGGATTTCATGTAAGGAATGCTCAAAGTCTGTAGTGAACAAAGAGAATGTGAGTATGAAAGAAATATAAAACGTCATTTCTTAATTTATTTATTTTCCCTTATTTCTATTAATTAGTTAAATTCTTTAATTAATTAGCCCTAGGTTCCACAAACGCATTTATGTGTAACATTATTTTTTATGTTTCTAGTTTATTTTATTTTAAAAATTTAAACTTCACTTCAGTATAATATATATAAACTTCTGATTATAAAAGTCTAAAATTTTAATTAATAGATGTACCAGAAACACCTAAAGTGTTGCACTCAATTATCTTCCATATACATACACACACACACACACATATATATATATATATATTATTCATAGGTTTTTCTATAATGCTCATATATAAGAACAAATAAAAAAGTTAAACATATTGAACTCTTTCTTTTAATAATCTTCCTAGATAGACTAATAAACACAAACGTCTCATTAGCAAATACTTTATAAAATAATTTAAATAATAATGAGATGTATATGTAATGTTCGTACTATATATACCTAAGAAAATGCAATATTTCTAATTGAAGTAAAGAAACAAAAATTGAGAATGTAGAAGTTTATATCATTAATTGGTTTGAAATTAAAGCATTAAATGTCATTTGAAATCAGTAGTAAACTATTACGCAGTGTATCCTTACCTTACAAGAATATAAAGACCTCTATTTATAGTTATACTCAGCACAATGTTATAATTATTCTGTTCAATAAAGAACGATTGATCTAATTAGTGTCTGAATATCCACCTGGATTTGTTGGTGAAGGAAATGGATGTAGCCAATGGCTTCACTTAACACAGAGGCTGTACTGGTCTGCAAATTAAAGAACATAAAGTAAGAAAACAATAATATATATATATATATATATATATATATATATATATATATATATACACACACACACATTATGTATCAGACTATAATTAAAGATCAGAAATGATTTACCTTCCCGAAAGGTGCTACTAATCTTTGAAGAGTTTGAATCCTATCCCCCAATTTTTCCTTTCTTATCTGCTTTAAAATCAGTCCACACATGGTTTTACTTTAACGTGAAAGTGACACAAATCATCAATTTAAATAAGTGTTCATCATAAAAAGATATTACCTTCAGGGGAGGGCATGATGATGGCCTCGACCTCTTAGCTTTGGCCTCTGAATCTTTTGGTAGAGAGCAACTACTAGGCCTTTTTACCGTTGCAACTTCACTTATAAATGATGAAATCTGAAATTTACTTGAAAAACTTAACTAACCCAATTGAATAGAATCAACGAAAAGACAATTATTTTGTTTATAGGAATGTAAAAACGAAATTCATGTTCCAAATATTGCTCAAATTTACTAATTATTTTTAGCCATTGCTATGCTTAAAGACACCTGATTTAAACAGTATGAAATTCAAACACACACAATCAATGATTACTATTACTGCTTAACTTTCGCAAAAATCAAAATTGGCGAACAAACATAAGCAAAAGTTGTGTATAAATGTTAAAGCACAAGAAAAGTTTAATTCGTAGTATTTGTATGCATTGCACGTGAGAAGAGGTGTAGAGAAAGCATAGTACTCACTTTTGAGCTATTTGATGGACTATTTTCGCGGCCATGCATGTCGCTGTGGCACAAAGCTATGCTCTCGTTTAGACCAAAAGTATCATAGCAAGGTTGGATTTCACAACTCTCACTGTAACTTGTATGCAAATCAAACATTTTAGGATTTAAACCCAAAGAACATGAAACCAAAGAAGAGGTCATATCTAGGGTTGGTAAATTCGAAATTAAACTAGCATCACCAAAGTTGTTATATCTCTTGCTTAAGGTCTTTCCATCAATAGGCTTCTCATTATGAAAGACAGTCTCCGAAGGAAAAAACTCTACACCAGTTACACCAAGACTAGGTAATAAACTAGGAGGATATCGTGGTTCATGAATTGGGATTAGTGAACACGATTCCTCCATAGCCTTCATGGAGGTGTTCATCATTTCACCTTTGATTCTTGCTGCAAAGAGATCACTAACTGGCTGTTGAGCAACGCTTTTTCCATTGTGGAAACCCAAGGCTTGCCTTGTTGAAATTCTAAGTGAGTCAGTCATGGCGTGCTTGTGCTGTACTTCTCTTGAATTTGTAAAGCTCTCAGTTAGAAAGCCACTGTTACAACCATTGCTGCAAACAAACTCACACGTAGATATAAGCCAATGGGTGCATGTTATATCACTGTTTCAAAGATGAAACAACTAAAAAGGAATCAAAGAAGAGCGGTAGAATAATCATGAAATGGTAAAATGTGAAATCAAGATCAGTAGTATTATTTAAAAGCATCACTACAGCTATCAGACTATAATAATTAAAAGATTTTGTAGTGGAGAGTTCTGTGCAAACTGGTGTACATGCTTTTCTACTATATATGTCCATATCTTCTCCATAAGTAGTTAGTTTTGTCGAACCACAAACCCAAGAAGCAATACAAGAAACCAGCTAATGTTTAATTAAGAGGGTTTCAAACATGGTAATAAGAATTCATAGTAATTTCACCTGAGACGATGATTATTATATAAGGGGATATTAGAGAGTGAGTTCATGTTGAAGGAGTGTGAAGGAACTTACTATATGTTGCTTGGGATCCATGATTGATGAGAGGTGATGGAAGGTTTAGAGTCAGGTGGTGGGGTTGCTGAAGCTATAGAGTGAGCAGATTCTTCTTGAAGCTGATGCTGAAGATGGAAACTAGCAAACTCCATGATTACTTAAAACCTTGAAGATCCCCAAACAAAAGAGATGGAGCTAATTAGCTAGGTAGGGAATCGAGTTTGAGAGACCTTTAACTTTTTACAATGTAACAAGATGGGATATATTGATATATATATTTGATACCATGCACAAGTTGAAACCCTTTTTCCTTGTTTTGCTCTCTTCCCTGGTTAAGTGATATTTTTGAGATCACTATGCTCAGTCCAAAGAACTCTAGTTATACAGGGAAATTCCCAAAGCAACTGCATAGAGCTTTGAAAAAGGGTCCTGAAAGAAGGTTATGGTGGTAGACAGCAAGGTTATTATATATACTGGTCCTCTTGGATCAGCAAGTTGACTGTGTTTATGCTTTTAGGATAGACACAGACATGACACCTTCGGGGAATATGCATGAATATAAGTAAATTCTTTGTAAAGCTCAGCTAGTGGTATGGACCTTTTTCCTCGGTAAAAGGTTAGTGGACCTTTTGTTTTGCTTACAATAATATAGAGTATTCAAAAACAATACTATTTAATTTTGGTTAAGATCGAATGTGACTCATGCGCCAAACTGTGATTGAGTTAATTATTTGAACCATATCTCTGTTGGGGAAATTGTACTTGTATTCTCAAACCAGATTTTTAGCCACCATCATTATTGATTGGGAATGGTGATTTGGTTTAATAATTTAAGCCAGATCTTACTTAGGGATGTTGTAGTTGTATTTGGTCAATCGTTTTTCTGATGGCTAAGGGTTATCAGTTTTTCTTTTTGGTACATCACTTTATCTTAGGCTGAAAAAGTTATTCAATTTCAGTAATATTCAACCTAATTAACTTGCACCAATCTAATCAAAATTGGATTAGATCGGTTTAGGTTTTTGAGTCACATAAATTTAAATTTGTAACTTTTCACAGAAATAGTTTCATAAATAAAAATAAAAGTTTTAAAAGGTTTAAATAAAATGAACTTTTCAGGTTAAAAACATTACTTTTAAAAGGTACTTTCTTGTGTAGGAATCTTTTCAGAAACTAGCTAGATTCTTTTGTGAAACTCTCTCCAAAATGTTTCTTTCATTGGGATGATTAAAAAAAGACTAACATCGAAATTGTAATAAGATAAAATGTATAGAATCACAATTCTCTTTCAGTGCATTTTATTAATTCGCAGGGAAGCGGGATGATGGGTTCCAATAATTTCAATTATAATTTTAAAAAGATTATATAAATAAATAACAAATTTAATATTCATTTCTCGGTTTGAAAGGTCAAGGAAAAATTTTGTAAAATTTAATACCTTTGCACATAAAAAAAGATAAGAGTGATTAGCAAATTTTATCTAACCGGCTAAATTACTTATATCTCTTGTTGTGAAATAGTTAGAAAAAAGTAAAAAATTAAAAGAAAGATAGTGAGATTAAAAAAGGTTTGTGTAGGGTATGGATATCAATGGATTGAACAAACAAACAATTAACAACTCTGAACCAATCGGTTAAACGGAAGACCATCAGGAAACTTTTAACCTGAAACATCTTGGCATCTATCTTCTACCGTGGGAAGATACTTGCAAAAGACACTCCAACGTTCAAGTCAGTGATTTTGCATAATAATATTTAATAGAAAGTGACTACTCAGAATTAGTTACCTGACATTTTCGTGTCAAACATATATTTATAAATATTAAAATGAACTCATCCTTAGACTTGACCCATTACCAATAAATGATTAATATTTTTATTAACTGTCAAGCAGTTGTAACTATCTCAACAATTATCTTAACCAATTCATTAAGAGTTGTTAATTGTTTGTTTCTCCAGTCCATTGACCTGACACTTATCCATACCATATAAGATTATATGTAATGTGTTTTAAAATAGGTAAATTAATTACATGTTGAACCTCTCTTTTTGTGATTCGTTGTTTATACATCTTATTTGTTGTCATTTTCTTATATTTCATGTACGTGTAAGAAGTGTGTATCAACGTGTTATTTTCTTCACCCCTCTATAAGTTATTCTACAAACGATAAATAAAATTTCTGCGCTTTTTTTTTTTACAATCAAGCATATAAGATTTGAATTTAGTAACAACAATAACCATAATGCTATTTAGTTCTAGTTCTTTAGAAATGATTCTATCTAACCAAAATGATTATTGTTGCAAACCATTCGAATCGCCACGCTGTCCCTGATGTGATGATAATATTGTAGAAAATGTGTAACAATCTCTTTATACCAAACACCAAAATGTGTAACCAATCATGACTAGTTTCTTGTTCTTGTTTGCACAAAGAACATATTCATTCCTATATATGTTGATATATGTATGTTTCTAGTTAACAAACCATCTTTCATTTATAATATACTCCTTATCATTCTCCATGTATTAGGACAATATTTGACTGTTATCTTTCAAAATTGTCAATATAAGGACTTACTTTTATTCTGCTCTATTGTTGTAGGTCTCCCCTCTTGGTGTACCGGGCTGCATGAAGATTTGACCTTGTATGTCTCATATGTGTCTCCTTTATATACCTATACTTTTTTGTACTTTACCAAAGAACTAATTTGTAAGATCTTATGTATCTATTGTACCTTCCAATTAAACCAGTTTCTTCTCCAACTAAGGTTTCATTCTCATTTCTCTTACAATCTTTCCATCTATTTGTGTTTGTGTTTTTTTTCTCTCAAATGTGAAGATCTACTAACATAAAAAAGGCTTTTCATTTTAAGCTTTTGATGTCTTGAAGGTTCAAATTCATAGTAGGAGATGTTATCTATAAAGAGATGTCTTAACGTCTATTGTTAATTGACGTTTATTACAAGAACAACGTCAATTAATTTGTAAGTTTTTTTAATTTTTTGTAAATATTTTTCTCCATTGAAATCATGGAAAATTAACATTCAATACAAAAGTACACTAAAGAAATTTTTAAAATTTTAGAAGTAGAATGGGTATTTAAAATAAAAGTGTAAAGTATAAAAAAATGAGTGAAAAATACTTAGAAAATAAAATAAAAAACATACCTTAAACAATGAATTTTTTAAAATTTCAACAATTTCATCACTTCATTTCTTATAACTTTCATTTTTTAAGTGTCTCAATATGAGATTTGTAACAAAAGTTATAACCATTTGAAACTCAAGATTAAACTAAAAATGAAAAAATGTAATATCTAAGAAACAACAATGACTAATAAATGAAACTAACTTTAATACGAAACACAATAGGAGATAATGAAAGTTTTAGCCAAAACAAACACTATAATGACAAAAAGATGAAAAATGGATTGAAAAACTTTTTCCTACAAGTTTGAGGTTGTCACTATACTTTAGTGGAAGGTTTCATACAAACCTTCAATAGAAATTTAAAGGTACGTGCACTGCTTTTAAATTTTAAAAGGCAAATTAACTTTTATTAAGAGAGATCCAATGTTAATTTGAACGAGATATTTACAAAAATATCACCACACATTTTTAACGTCGAATTTTGTTACTTATGCATAAATGATGTTACAAGTTCTTTTTGCACAAGTGATATGTCTTTCAATGTGAAATCACCTACCAATATATCCTCTCAAAATTCGATTCATTGACCATCACCAACTTTTTTTATCTAAGTGATTTCTCCACCAATTCTCTTGACTTCTCAGTGCACATCTCCTAAAATGTATATTTATCAAACAAACTTTTTCTTCTTTTCTATTAGTATTGTTTGTGACCTCCTAATTATATACTTTCTAAAATAAAGTATAACATTTTAATTACTTATTAAATATATTTCACAGTTTCATTTTCATATATCAATATTTTACAAAACTTTTAACCATAATTATACATCAGTGTTTTACTTGCATATATATAGTTATAAACATATTTTTCTAGTAGCACTGCAACATTATTTCATATTTTCAAAGGTAGACTAGTCTAACGGTATAGTGTATAGTGAGTTCATATATGTGGACGTAACTGGAATAAGGCTGTTAGAGATATTATGGTCAAATAATCATATCAGGAGTGTTGATCCTTGTCCATTAAAAGTCATGATATTGTTTTGATTATTCATATTCCATGGCATATTCAGAAATGTAATTCGTATCAATGTAAAAAATTATCTTATATGTGAGGACACTATCCACATGAAGTAATATACATTTATAAATTTCCCTTTCACTTTATTTTTATTGTTGTGGAGGCAAGTATAATAAGTCTTTAATCGGGATAAGTGAGACTAACTAGATTCATACAAGTTTACTTCATCTTCTCAATTTCTCTTTCTTTCTCATTTAAATTCCCTTGGAAAAACATGGAGTTACAAATTAATTTAAACTTTAGTAGACCTATTCTTAATTAGTCTTTCCTTATTTATAATTTACATAGAATTAATATTTATAAAATTTTAAATATATTTTAAATTTTATATTTTATTTTTAATATTTGTTATTTTGTTAAAATTTAATAATAATTTATATAAAATTATAGTTTCTTATAATAATCATTATTAAAATTATACAGGTAGCTAAAGATTCAATATATTTATGTTGTTTATTCAAAATAAAATAAAAATTATTAAAAAATTTAATTTCAATATAAATTTGTTATCCAAATTTTTTGATTAAATTAACTCACAATTCAAATAATCTAAATGATTAGTCCAATACATTAAATGGTCAAATATGAATTTTAAAATATTAAATTGAATTATACTAAATTAGTCAGATTAGATCCAAATCCGATCTAACTCCATAAATGTTCATCCTTAATATATATAAATTTATCCCTTCTTTCTTTATTTATATTAGTCACAAAAATTAGACTAAATTAAATAAAATAATAAGACTAAAAAATAATTACATTTGTAGTCACATAAGTCTTTCAATTAGTTGCTTCTACAAATTATATTAATTAACATTACAACATCATGTTGAATTAAAACTATAAAAAAAATTCTCTAATTTTATTCTAACAAAATATATATAAAGTGAGATAATAGTAAAAAATAATGATAAGTTTGGTAAAAAAGACATATTAAGAACATGCATTTAGTTTTTGTACCTAATTTTTCTTAAAGGAGGGGATTAGTGTACTAAAAATATCATATATCTTTAATAGTAAAAAATAATCATGAGTTTGTGTAAAACATAATTTTGTATTATTAATTTATATTAAATGTATGTATTTAGTCTTTCTGCAGAATTTATATTTCGATTATCAACTTGGTTGGTTTACCTCAACTACCGATCTACTCTAAGTTGTTTTGATTTTTTTGTTAAAAATTACTTGTT